TGAGAGGTGTAGCAGATCTACCTAATACCTAGTCACAAACCCAAACAGGCAGCCAAAATGAGGAGACAAAGAAACAACCCCCAAATGAAAGAACAAGAGAATTCTCCAGAAGAAGAGATAAATAAAATAGAGATAAGAAATTTATCTGAAAGAGTTCAGAGTAATGATGGTAAAGATGCTCAACAGCATGAGAAAAGATATAGTAACTATAAAAACAGAAATAAAGCATGCCATTGCACAAATAAAGAACACATTGGGGAGAAACCAAGATGGCGGCATAGGTAAACACCGGAAATTGCTGCCTCGCACAACCACTTCAAAAATACAACTAAAAGACAAAACGGACATCATCCAGAACCACAGGAAGGCTGGCTGAGTGGAAATTCTACAACTAGAAGGAAAGAGAAAAGCACACTGAGACTCAGAGGAGGTGCGGAAGTAAAGTGCTGAGGTATGGAGGCGTACGTGGAAAGGGCTGGCAACTGAGGACACAGTTGTCTTTTTCAATTGGGAGGGAGTCTCAAGCTCCCAACTGCTCTCAACTCCAGTTCCGGCCGAGTCTCTGGGGACCCAGACTCATATGGGGAGAAAATGGACTGTCTGGCATTGGTCGGAACTCGAGGGCAGCTTTCTCTCAGAGGTGCTTGCACGATTACTGGGACACTGAGACTCGGGCCTCTTAGGGTAGGACTGAGGAGCAGCCATAGCTGCTTGCTCTGCCCTGTTGATCCCCTGAGACCCCGCCCAACCCAAGCTGTGCACAGAGGCTTTTGCATATGAAAGGCCTGGCCCTTTGCAATCTGAAAATTACCTAACAAACTGCAGCTGGGTCAGAGAGACCCAGAACATCCAAAAGAAGGCCCAAGGCCCCACAGCAGCTTGCATTGCTTCACATCTGGGCCTCATCTGGGCACCTCCAAACCCCAGACAAGGAAGAGGAATCTGCAGATCTCTCCATAGCTCCTGCTGGGTAGCCTCAGGCAGAGGCTAAATTATCACCTCCTTAGAGATCCAAGAGCCAGTGTACCCAGTGGTCAGAGTGGGACCATCCAGATTACAACTCCTCAGATCCATAAGGGACACAGTCAGTGAGCACTAAAGCCCCACTGAAGCAAGTCTTGCCCCAGAAGGGTGTCTCCAGCAGAGAAGTTCTCCCACTGCAGACACAGCTGATTCTCACAGCCAATTGGCCTGGAGGTCAATTCCTCCCAGTGATACCTACAACAATCAAGGCTTAACTACAACAAGACTGTGCACAAAGCCCACAAAGGGGTGCACCAAGAGTGTCCACCTCAGGTAATTGGGGAGGCTGAGCCACTGGGCCCTATAGGACACCTAGCACACAAAGCCACTCTATCAACACAGGGAAGCAGCCAAAATGCAGAGACAAAGAAACAGGTCACAAATGACAGAAATGGAGGAAAGCAAACTACTAGATATAGAGTTCAAAACCACGGTTATAAAGTTTTTCAAGAATTTTCTAGAAACCGCTGATAAATTTAGCGAGATCCTCAAGAAATCTAGTGAGACCCTCGAGGTTATGAAAAAGGACCAACTAGAAATTAAGCACACACTGACTGTAATAAAGAATATTATACAGAGTTCCAACAGCAGACTAGAGGATCGCAACAATCAAATCAAAGATTTGAAATACAAAGAAGCAAAAAACACCCAACCGGAAAAACAAAAAGAAAAAAGAATCCAAAAATATGAAGATAGTGTAAGGAGCCTCTGGGACAACTTCAAGCGTACCAACATCTGAATTATGGGGGTGCCAGAAGAAGAGAGAGAGCAAGATATTGAAATCTATTTGAAGAAATAATGACAGAAAACTTCCCCTACCTGGTGAAAGAAATAGACTTACAAGTCCAGGAAGCGCAAAGAACCCCAAACAAAAGGAATCCAAAGAGGACCACACCAAGACACATAATTAAAATGCCAAGAGCAAAAGACAAAGAGAGAATCTTAAAAGCAGCAAGAGAAAAACAGTTAGTTACCTACAAGGGAGTACCCATACGACTGTCAGCTGATTTCTCAACAGAAACTTTGCAGGCCAGAAGGGAGTGGCAAGAAATATTCAAAGTGATGAATAGCAAGAACCTACAACCAAGATTACTTTACCCAGCAAAGCTATCATTCAGAATTGAAGGTCAGATAAAGAGCTTCACTGATAAGAAAAAGCTAAAGGAGTTCACCACCAAACCAGTATTGTATGAAATGCTGATAGGTATCCTTTAAGAAGAGGAAGAAGAAGAAAAAGATACAAATTATGAACAACAAATACACATCTATCAACAAGTGAATCTAAAAATCAAGTGAATAGATAACCTGATGAACAGAATAAACTGGTAAATATAACAGAATCAGGGGCATAGAAAGGGAGTGGACTGACTATTCTCGGGTGGGAATGGGGTGTGGGAGGTGCAGGAAGAGACTGGACAAAAATCATACACCTATGGATGAGGACAGTGGGGGGGGTAAGGGCAGAGGGTGGGGTGGGAACCGGGTGGAGGGGAGCTATGGGGGGAAAAAAGAGGAACAACTGTAATAATCTGAACAATAAAGATTTTATTTAAAAAAAAATTCAAATGGAAATAAAAAAAGAACACATTGGAAAGACAGTTAAAATATTTCAAATTGTTAGCTATTATTAACAATATTTGTTCATATATCTCTACAAAATTACATAATTATATGTTAAGATAAATTCCTTGAGGTGAATCTGTAGTCAAAGATGAGAACATTAAAATGTTTAGTGGTTAGCACCCATGTCTTCCAGCTAGGCTGTGCTACCTGTCCCTCCACAACAGTGTTGGAAAGCTCTCCAGTTCCCCTCAGCTGGCAAGAATCGAGTACAATGACATCAAATCTCTGTGTGGATAAAACTCCAACAACCCCCACAATTGTTGGTCCTAATCTATAATAATAAAAGTGTAATATGCTAATTAGACTGGACAGCCAAACAACTTCCCAGACGTCCTTCCGGATGAAGCCGGGGCTGCGAGGGCCGACCCCCTTGCACAAATTTCGTGCAGCGGGCCTCTAGTATAAGAATGAAGAGGTCCACCACATAAGAGTTATTTTAGTGTCATATCAATTCTTCCAAATTGATTCTTTATAAAACGGAAACTGTCCAGGTATCAGTGACGTGAGGCACACACTTTGGCTTGTTCTTACTCTGGTGATAGAACTGCCCCAACACATCCACACTGTTATACAAAGCTCCTCTTAGCTCCCACACATGAACACGTGAGGCAGTCCATACGCTGGACTAGGTGAAGAGATTCAAGAAGACAAGCCCATCTCCTCACCTCTGTTGCCCCGGCATGCCCTATGGTCCTAATGCATTCTGAGCACTCCATACATTTTGTTGCCTGAAAGAATAAGAGAGAAGGCACACAGGCCTCCTCAGCACAGCCCACTATTCTTGGTGCTGCCTTCTAATTCCTGGTTTCTGATCTCTCCCCACCTGTCCTGACAGCAGGCTGGCAGTGGGGCCACGTCTGCTCCCAGCACCTGGCCCCTGCCAGAGAACCAGTACTTATCCGACTGTCAACCCAACAGGTAAGCAAAGCAAACCAGTTTCTGACATACACTATCAAAGCAGCAAGCAGACAGTCATGGCAACAACTTTCTATTTAGCTAACGGTTACCTGTTTCTTGGCACAGGGAATTAGTAACTTACCTGTGGGTCTTTAACCTTTAATTCCGTGTCAACAATAGACACAGACTGCACATTTCTGGTCAGAAAAGGATCATCAAACTCAGTCCACGTGTAGTCACCAAACACAATATTATGTCTGTTAAGTAGCTTTCTAACACTCAGCTTTATGTCTTCTTTTTTTGCCGTGCTGGACAAATAAACAAAACACAAAGATCAGTTCTAAGTTACAAAACACACACCAAGATTTTAACGCTTAAAAACAAAAACAGAAATTGGGGCATACATGAAAAGTGCAGTAGTTCAGAGTACATACAGGAGGGAGTGGGCCTGCCTGGGGATGGAACTGGAGCCACTCCTTGCCTGCCGGCTGCGGGACCTGGGGAGCAGCTCACCTGGAGCCTCCGCTCTTCCTCAGATAAAGGGGGCAGCAGCAACAGTTTTTGCTACACTGGGCTACTTTGGAGATTGGTCAATAAATTCAAAGTGTTTAGGACAATGCCTGGCATATAGTACGCACTCAACAAATGAAAGGACGGCCTACCGCTGTGGGGTCAGGTCAGGAGTTTGCATTTTAACAAGTGCCCCAGGCCTGGCATTCACACTGAGAAAACCCACACTTCCGGCTTGGCGTTCAAGGCTCCCCTCCGCCCACTTTGCCACCTGCCGGCCACGGTGACTGGTGCTGAGATCACACCAAGGTGTGCGATCACTGCGGTACACCTCCTGGCACGGAAGAGCCTGAGAAACGCTGGCTCCAATGGCAATATCTATATTTCCCCTGGAACCAAGAGTTCTGAGTATCTGGCCCATCCTAACTTCCAGCTTTCCTGGGCTGCGGCGCCCGGCTGGGCTCTGCGTGGGTCCGGTTCAGGGCCGGGCCTGATGGGTCAGGTCCGTGTCCGGCGCAGTGGGCTCCAGTCGAGGTCTGGGCCGAGTGTTGTCCGTCGGGGCCACGCAGAGGCCGAATCGGCTCGGACCTACCCGGTTCCCATTGGGTCGGGTCAGGCCGGCTCACCTGCCGCTTCGCTGGTGCACCTCCACATGGATGGACGGCGTCTCGGGCACGCAGGGCAGCGCCTGCTTCAGGTCGCCCACGGCCTGGTCCATAGCACCGTCGCCGCTGCCGGGAGCAGCGGGTACCAGGCCCGATCGTGGCCGCCGCCTGACGCCGGGCGCCACCACCACCTCCACTTCCACCTCCTCCTCCACAGCTGCCAAAAGGACCGTCTGCCCAGTCTGTACTTCGAATCTGCCGCGCGCAGCGCGTCCTCCCCTGACCCGGAAGCACTCGTGCCTGCGAGAGGGCGGGGCCAGTTCCGGTCTCGGGTCTACTTCCGGCGCGGCCCCACGACCTCCAGGGGTGAGGTGGGCACAGAGCCAGGGCCGCGGGGGCGGCGGCCACGCTCTGGCCGCGCTTGCTGCTGCCCTCGGCCCCGCGCCCCTGCCCCGCCGCCGCCATGGGCAAGAAGCACAAGAAGCACAAGACCGAGTGGCGCTCCTCGTACGAGGGTGAGGCGGCGGGCGCGCTTTGTGACGCCGGGCCGGGCGGGCGTTCGCGCGGTGGACGGGCGGGCGAGCGTCCCGGGGACGTGCTCAGGATCCGGGCTCGAGTGCTTTCGCGGTGGGCGGGGGCTCCACCCCGGAGCCCGCTTCACCTCGCAAGTCCTGGAGAGAAGCCGAGCATGTCAGCTGTCTTGTGTCCGGGTCTCCGGGAGAAGCTCTTACTGCCCGGTCCTCCCGCCTTTCCCCGCCCGGCCCTGCAGCAGCTCGTTGGCGTCAGCTGACAAGGCGGTGGCCAGGGGCTTGGGGAGGCGGGATCGAGCGGCGGGGTCCCAGGTCCTGGCCTTGTGGCGTCCCCCTCTCTCTGGCTCCCTGAGGATAATGCAGTGTAACGGGAAAGCTAGGAAGAGGAAAGGGGAAGTAACACCCAGCCGCTCTCAGCGGTGCCCCGCCGTTTAGCATTCTCCTGCTCTGCCTTAATAGGGCCGGTCCTTCCCCTCCTTGATCCCTCACTGTAACAGCCACCATTGGGCCCGCCAGGCCACCCCCCGGGAGGTGTTTTCCCTAAGCACACACCGTGAGGGCCCGTCTGTCTCTGCAGAGTATGCAGACAAACCCTTGGAGAAGCCCCTGAAGCTGGTTCTCAAGGTTGGAGGAAGTGAAGTGACTGAACTCTCGGGATCTGGCCACGATTCCAGTTACTACGATGACAGGTCAGACCATGAGCGAGAGAGGCACAAAGAAAAGAAGAAGAAAAAGAAGAAAAAGTCAGAGAAGGAGAAATACCTGGACGATGACGAAAGAAGGAAACGGAAGGTAAAAGGAGCGTGGCGGCCCCGGGGGTGGGGCATACAGAATGAGTGCTCCAGGGCTTAGGAAAGGGGGTGATTTGTTTGAAGCAAAACAGACCACAAAGGTAGTTGCTTCATTTCCGGCTCTTTGAGCATCCCCTCTCCCTTGACCCCTGGGGAGGGTCTTTGCAAGGGTGGGAGTCTGGAGTGAGAAGAGTCTCTGGAAGAGGGTGTTTCTCTCTTAGCTTTGTGTTTCCCCTTAGAAACAGTTTGTTTAAAACTCTTTACATTGCTCTCCCTGCCTTGAATTTGCCTCACAGGAAGAGAAGAAGCGGAAACGGGAAAAGGAACACTGCGACACGGAGGGAGAGGCTGATGACTTTGATCCTGGGAAGAAGGTAGAGGTGGAGCCACCTCCCGATCGGCCAGTCCGAGCGTGCCGGACACAGCCAGGCAAGTGCTGGCATTTTCAAAGACTTTCTTGGAGTGTGGGAGCTTGGTACTGTGTCCTTCAGCTTTGGGGGAGAAGCACAGAAGGAAGGAGCAGTGTTTTCTCTTCCAAGGTCTCACACGAAATATAGCTGGGTTTGAGATTCTTTACTATTATTATTATTGTTATTATATGAAGGGGTTGACTTTATTGTTGTTAATCCTCATCTGAGGATATTTTTCCATTGATTTTTTTAGAGAGAGTGGAAGGGAGAGGAGAGACAGAGAGAAACATCGATGTGAGAGAGAGAGACATCGTTTGGTTGCCTCCCACACGAGCCCCGACCAGGGCCAGGGATCGAGCCTGCAACCGAGGTATGTGCCCTTTGACCGAAATCAAACCCAGGACCCTTCAGTCCGGGGGCCAATGCTCTATCCACTGAGTCAAACCGGCTAGTGCAGGATCCGAGATTCTTGCCATCATCTTCGAACTTCTAGAGCAGCGGTTCTCAACCTGTGGGTCGTGACCCCTTTGGGGATCGAACGACCCTTTCACAGGGGTCGCCTAAGACCATCAGAAAACACATATATAATTACATATTGTTTTTGTGATTAATCACTATGCTTTAATTATGTTCAATTTGTAACAGTGAAAATACATCCTGCATATCAGATATTTACATTACGATTCATAACAGTAGAAAATTACAGTTATGAGGTAGCAACGAAAATAATTTTATGGTTGGGGGTCACCACAACATGAGGAACTGTAAAGGGTCGCGGCATTAGGAAGGTTGAGAACCACTGTTCTAGAGCATGGTTTGGCCAACTGCTGCTCCTGGCTTTTTCTTTAAGCACATGAGCTAAGAAGCTCATCGTAGATGGGAGGAGGCTAGTTTTCCATCAGTTATTCAGGACTTCAGAACCTGGGAGCTGTGCTGGCTGCACCAAAGGAGAGCTCCCAGAACCCTCTGATCTGTGTGTGGTCACTTCCCTCAAGGCTTCCAGATGGTTAGGAAGCTTGTTCTTCAGGGAGTTCTTTTCTTGCTTAGGGGGTCGGAGGTATTGTATCGCAGTCATGGCGAGTGCTGTTTTCTAGCAGTACCCTCCCCTGTATGAGTCATGCCATGGTGAACGGGTAGGACTCCTGGCTGCTGAGCTTGTTGAGAAGAGAAGGTCAGGTGCAAACAACATTTCATTAAATGAATGTGTCTACAAAGTTAGTACAGTCACTGGTAATTGTTAGCTTGATCTGACTTCTTCCTTGAGGTCAGACACTGGTGCTCCCCTCCCCCCCTCCACCCCCATATGTCTGAAGAGCTAATGATCACATGATGCTTTCTTGGTGATTCTGAAGAGGGTCACTGTTGGGGACTTGCTGGTCTGCACTCCTCTTGTGCTTCGGCCTTGGCTCCTCAATGGAGAATGGCATTTAGAAAACCAAGTCTGGGTCCTGGGTGTAGCCCTCAGTGGACAGAGCTAGGAAAGGCCATTTACATACATACAACTTGTAGAGGGAAACTAGACCGACATCTGTGTTTACATTCACCAAAAACCATGTTTTCACAAATGTGCCCAGAGATGTAGCTAATAACTGCAGTGCTCGCAATAACCCGTGTAGTGTGTGTTCCTATCCCCATTTCACACATGAAGAGCGGGCATATGCAGACATTTAGGACTGTCAAGTGAAATGACAGTTGGTTAATCCAGGATCGGCTTCTATATCCAAAGCCTTTGTTCTCCCCTTCATACCTTGTCTGGAATGTACCCTTTGATGATAGGCGCTAGAAATAGATTGATGACTGATATCTATGTGTTGTTGTTTTAAGGGATATTGGCACTCGGTTTTGGGGACTGATGTGTGAGTGTCCTTTCTACCCAGCTGAGCTTTGGGGGGAGGGGGAGCAAGGCTGGGTCTGGTTTATCTTTGTATCCAGTTCTTATTTGAACCTTCTTATTAAAATGCTGTGGAACTCGAAACAAGTAAGTACGTACTGTGAAATTGGAGCTCTCCAGTGAAGTGTTATCAAAATCTTCTTGTTCAATTTATTTTTTTCTACTTTTTAAATCATCAGCTGAAAATGAGAGCACGCCTATTCAGCAACTACTAGAACATTTCCTCCGCCAGCTCCAGAGGTAAAGAGTGTTTCTAAAGAGCTTGTGCTTGGGGACATTTGGGTGTCCTTCTCTATGTCTGAGGTGTTCTTGCCCTCACCACCATCAATGTGAAGTAGACACTTGCCTTTCACTGGTAATGCCCAATCTGACTGGGTGGGCAGGCATGTGGGCAATGTGGGGGACTGTCAGAGAGCTATGATGTAGATGTCATAGCTGCAGCCAGGATGCTAGTTTTGGAATTTTTTGTGTATTCAAAAATACCTACCACAATTTTAAAGAGCATAAATTTTATTTTTTATTGCTAAGAAACAAACTTTGGTCAATTAACATTTTTATTGTGAAGGATTTTGTATCATTCAGAAATTTAGGTTTTAGGGGTTTCCAGTTTAAATAAAGATGTTTTTGTTTTCAGAAAAGATCCTCATGGGTTTTTTGCTTTTCCTGTCACGGATGCAATTGCTCCTGGATACTCAATGATAATAAAACATCCAATGGATTTTGGCACAATGAAAGAAAAAATCATGGCTAATGAATACAAATCAGTCACGGAATTTAAGGTAAATTAATTTAGTTCCTAAAATAATTGTTTGGAAGCTCTGTATTAGTTTATGTCCAGTAAATGCTTCATTCATCTTAGGTCATTTCCAGTTGCAAGTTTTCACAGGTGTTTCTGTGTTCGGGTTGAAGTTTCTCACAGCATCAAGGAAATGGGTTGGTTGTAATTTTCTTTGTATTTTGGTCTAGAACAGTGGTTTTCAACCGTTTTCCTTTCATGACATGCATAAACTAATTTTGTGGCACACCAAAAAATATATTTTTTGCTGATCTGACCAAAAAATAACTATAATTTTGATTCATTCACACCAGACGGCTATTGTTGTGTTGGAGGCTGTCATTTTATAAAAATTCTTTATTGTTGAAAATATTACATGTCATTTATTTATTTATTTGACAGTCTAAAGGAAAAGAAATCAGTGGCCCTGGCCAGTGCGCTCAGTGGTTAAGAGCATGGGCCCAGCCCTAACCAGTTTGGCTCAGTGGATAGAGCGTCGGCCTTCGGACTGAAGGGTCCCAGGTTCGATTCCGGTCAAGGGCATGTACCTTGGTTGCGGGCACATCCCCAGTAGGGGGTGTGCAGGAGGCAGCTGATCGATGTTTCTAACTCTCTATCCCTCTCCCTTCCTCTCTGTAAAAAATCAATAAAGTATATTAAAAAGAAAAAGAAAAAAAGAGCATGGGCCCATGCACCGAAGGGTCATGGATTCAATTCCCCGTCAAGGGCATGTACCCGGGTTGCAGGTTTGATCCCCTGTCCCAGTCAGGGTTGAAAGGCAACCAGTCGATGTGTCTTTCTCACATCGATGTCTCTCCCTCTCTGTCTCCACCTTTCTCCTTCCCTCCCTTCCTTCCACTCTAAAAAAATCAATGGGAAGAAAAAACGAGGTCAGTGCCCCTGACTAAACTAATCAGGTATTGCATGTTTTAAAAATTCTTGCGGCATAGTGTTTGAAAATATCTGGTTTAGAAGCTGGCCCATAAGTTACATGCTATTTGAAATGCATTTCCATTTTTTTTTTTTAAAGTTCCTGTGTTGGCATAATAGAGGCATGTTAGGTCAAGCAAGGATGTGTCTTATTTGGCCTGGTTCCAGAATGGGTATTTTTTGAAATATAATTTTCCTCATTCTTAGTTTTGTTTTGTAACAACTGGGTTTTATAGAATAATAAATTCTTACATCCCTTGAGTGCTTTGCTCTTAACTCCCTTTCTTGTGAGAGGTAGAAAGCGTGAGGGGAATAAAAGCAAATGCTTGGTCACATTGGCAGTAGTGCTATTTAGAAAAGGCCATTAGGCTTCTTTCTTAGGTCTGTCAACTTCAGGAAAAGCTTGGCTTTTCTCTATTTACTGGAGACGTCACTGAAAGGGTGTGCTGACCTGCAGAAACAATACGACAGACTAGAAGGAGAGTAGGAGAAAAGGAAAGTTTTCACAGGAGGGTCCCCTTAACTCCAGAGGGCAGGTGGTAACAGTGATCCAGGCCATAAAGTCCTCTGCCTTTTCTGACTGAGGCCCCCAATTTGGTCTCTCACCCAGTGACAAAGCCACGGTGGGAGCAATGTTCACCCCATCCCTTGTCCTCAGGAAAGTGGTTGTTTTTTTATTGATTGATAAAATTATGTGTTTTGGGTGTACAATTCTATAATACGTTATCTGTATAATGTATTGTGTTCACCACACCAAGTCAAGTCTCCTTCCATCACCATTTATCTGCCCTTTACCCTCCTCTACCTCACTCTACCCCCTTTCCCTCTGGTAATCACCAGGCTGTTGTCTGTGTCTATAAAGTGTTTGTTTAATCCCTTCATCTTTTTCACCCAGCCCCACATCCCCCCTCTCCTCTAGCAGCTATCAGTTTTCTATCTATGAGTCTGTTTCTATTTTGTTAATTTTATTCGTTAGATTTCACATATGAGTGAAATCACATGGCACTTGTCTTATGGATATGGAGAGAGCATTATGTTAAGTGAAACAAGCCAGTCAGAGAAAGATGTCAGGAGTGTTCTGAACCTGACACAGGTGCGACCTGTGACGGACAGGGGCTTCATAGCCTCAGTTCCAGCCCTGGGGACGCTGGCACAGTGACTTGGTAAGATCCCTGGATAGCATGTGCTATGTTGGTGTGTGGCTTCAGTGGTCATTGTCCATCCTGATGTCTAACTCACCTGTGATAGCTGTGTGCTACATAATTTGGTTAGGATGTTAATTACTGATGTTTTAAATAATATAAATTGTTCAATAAGAGTGTCCATATTTTAGTCTTTTTCTGATCGCACTAGAATAACTATCTGTAGACAGAATTTTAAATTCCATGGAAAAACCACAGAGAGAGAACATATGACTATGTCCACCTCTCAGTTCGCCCTGGACTTTCACTTAACTTAGCTGTTGGTTCTTGCTCCTATTTATGTCTGAGTTCCTCCCCAAGAGAGAGGAGAGGGCTGGAGATGGGAATGAAGCAGAGGGAGCCATCACCTTCTTCTCATGAAGTGTGGGTACAGTAAAACCTCTATATAACGGACTAATTCAGGCAAGGGGTGTCTGTTAAAGCCTAAAGTCCTTTATATAGTAAAGCAGGTTTTCCAAGTGCATATGTTAAGAAATTGACAAATTAGTTTATCTGCTTATGTAGACACATTTGTATAATTAAAATTAAGTATGTATGAGAAGTTTAATTTCACAGAAAAGTTTCCTGTATGTATTATTATAATTTTAAACTTCTACTGAAAAGGTCTAGTAAGTGCGTGCATTAACCAGTCACTGTGAATGAACAAATGACATGGCTGGGCATGCCTTAGTGCTAGTTGGAGCATCATGGCCTGCATGCTTTAAAACTGCTGCAAAAAGTCATGCCATGGGACTACAGAACCAATTACTGCGAGCAGTGCAGTATCTTGTGCTAATCATTTGCTGAACGTTGTTTACGAATGGTGACTCTTGGATTTAACTATTACTGTAGATATGTAATATTTATTTATGTTGGTGAAATTACAGTGTTTTTTCCAACATATGGCCTATTTGCTAAAATTTGTTAAAATTAACAGTGAATTTAAAAAAACAACACCCTATTTAATTATAAGCAAATCTTGGTTAAAAGCATTTTAAAATTAACGGGGTGTTAATTTTCAAATATGACATTTGGAACAGAAATTTTGTCTGTTAAATCAAGATCCACAAAATCAAGGGTTTACTGTATTATGCTCAAAAAAAGTACAGGCTTTGTTTTAAAGATGAATGAACAATTATGAAAATTTCTCTGAAAGAGTTTTAAAGTTAATTTTTTAATCAAAGAGCCAAATTAAATTGTTTTTCACTAATTTCCAGCTCTTCATTTTTGCCCCTTTGACAGGAATCTAAACTCTTTGCTGTTGTCTGGGTGATGTTTCAAACTTGATGATTTTTTTCTTTCAGGCAGATTTCAAACTGATGTGTGATAATGCAATGACATACAACAGACCAGACACTGTGTACTACAAGTTAGCTAAGAAGATCCTTCACGCAGGCTTTAAGATGATGAGCAAAGTAAGAAAGCCACTAATGGCGTGGAGCCACAGAAACGAGAGTTCTCCTCTACGTTGTTTATGCCTAAACAGAAACTCACAGTGAATGACATGCTTCCATCTTTCCGTCACTGGCCACGGCGTGGACCCCTCTGCTCTAGGGTAGACACCCCAGGCTGCCCCCTCCATGTCCCTCTCCTCCAGGCACTCTCCTCTTTCTGTTCCTGCTCCTGTCCTAGCTGTAACGTCTCTGTTAGGGTGGGTGGGAAGTTCTGGATCTGTTGATCTCAAGTCTAGATGTCTGTCTCTCTGGACTGCCGCTAGCCTTTTGGGTTTGTTTTGTATGGCTGCCTCACTGAATCAGCCAGGACATCCTGGCCATCCTGAGTGGCTTCCCAGATCTGTACTGTGAGCCATGTTGCATGTGTCACATGTCTAGGACCAGTGCCTTGCGCCTGATGAGCCTGTGGGTGAGGTGCAGCCCTGTGCCCTCTGGCCTGTTCCCCTCTGCCGGCTCTGAGCGCTCACCAGCTAATTCGCTGCACCCTTTGGTGCTGACCCCACGACCACCTCCCGCTGCACTGCATGGAAAGTTAGCTGTTAGGCCAGGTGAGGCTGTGGCCATCCCCATCCCATCCCATCGTCATGGCGCCTTGGCTGTGAGGGAGAGGTAAAGTCGTGCTGCTCTGTCCTTTCTGATTCTAGGAGCGGCTGTTAGCTTTGAAGCGCAGCATGTCGTTTATGCAGGACATGGATTTTTCTCAGCAGGCAGCTCTTCTGGGCAACGAAGACACAGCTGTTGAGGAACCAGTTCCCGAAGTTGTACCTGTACAAGTAGAAACTGCTAAGAAATCCAAAAGGCCGAGTAGAGAAGTCATCAGGTAAAGAGAAGTGCACTCGCCTGTGGAGTAGGACGCCCATCTTGGGAAGGCGGGTGCTCCCTGGGAGAGCAGGTTAGGGACACCAGCCTGTGTTTCCGCTCTATCTCTGGAGTAGCTTAGGGACAGGCTGCAGCCTGATGGGCAGAGCACAGCTCCTCAGAAGCTTAGGTCTATGTTTGGAGGCACATGACCATCCTTCCTGCCCACCTTGAGAGTTAGGTGACCATCGTGTGTGGGTAATGAATGTCACCATTGTCACTGGAAGGTGTTGGAAGACCATGGGACCCCACAGTCAGTTCTGGGAGGAGTGATAGTTTGCTGTGTGACCCTACTCTCCTACAGCGAGCATAGTAACTTGTCCTGGAGGAGAGTCAGTGTCACACTGATGGACACAGAAACCAAAAGGGCTGAGACAGTCCCTGCTGTATGCACACACGCTCTGTCCCAGGTGTGACACACTGAGCTCATCTGTCCAGCCCTGCAGTATGTCTACTATCACTGCTGTTCCCACATGTGTCCTATTTATGAATATTTGTTGGCTCTACTTCCAAGAAGCCTCCTTACATTCAGGACACCTGCTGGTGACCTGGGTTTGCCTGTCCCAGGCTCAGGGAACAAAATTGTGTCACGTTGGACAGACAATACACATGACAACATGCATTTCTCACCATGCTCCCTGAGCTCCCTGCTCCTTTAGCTATGAATGCTGGTCTGGAGGAAGGGCTTGCTATAAGCTCAGGATCCCTAGGCAGGACTTGATCCCATGATTCCTTGAAGGGGTCCCACCCACTGCTTCTAGAACCTTCCACAGCAGAGGCCATCTCCCTTCGGTGCTGCACCTCTCAGCTTTTTGAATCAAGAACTCTACTGGAACCTGAGGCTGGCCTGCTAAAGTCTTGGGGAGTCCCTTGTGCCTTGCAGTGGGGGCTGCTCTTCAGCCCAGCAAGCAGCCTTGTGTTCCCAGCCTCAGCTCACCACCAGCACCTCACCCCTCCACATGATTTTTGCCACTTTTTCTAATGGTGCCTTGAATGATGCTTTAACCAGTGAGGCTGCTGTTATGTGATGTTTCTTCTGTTTTTCTTAAAGCAACTGAGGAGAAATATAGAAAGTTTACTTGGCTTACACTTTTCATCTTAGTGAAAGAGTCATGTTTTAAGTGGTTAGAACTAAAAGGAAAGGGAGCAAAAGTGCACTTTGTGTCACTCCTACTGGCCCTTTGTGTGACTCGGGGGGGCAGTAGGGACTGACCACAGTGGGGAGGGATGAGGTGTATGCTGTTGCCTCTTGGTGACGTGTGTGTTCCTGCCTTGTAGCTGCATGTTTGAGCCAGAAGGAAATGCTTGCAGCTTGACTGACAGCACAGCAGAAGAACATGTGCTGGCCTTGGTGGAGCACGCAGCAGACGAGGCTCGGGACAGGATCAACCGACTCCTTCCAGGTGGCAAGGTAGTGCTCCCTGGCTGGTGGGTGTGTTTTCTGCCAGAACATTGGCACAGCCATCAGAATCAAGACGTTAACGTCAGGATGTTACAAGTGTCTAGTCCAAGCTCCGTTGCTTTCATGGAGTGAGCACATGCTACAATCAGGGTCAGCTCCTTGTCCTCACTGGCCATTGTAGCCACTGGCCCCATCTCATGGAGGCTAAAGGGGTCCTCCAGATGCCTGGGTCAGGCGTTTGTTACCCTCCATCACACCGCGGCTGAGCCTGCCAGCTTCTCTGCTGCAGGTTAATTCTTTTCCCTGTGTGTACTCACGTCTGTGTGTGCCCCTGCAGTCACTCATAGGTCTGACCCTGTGTACTCACATCTGTGTGCCCCTGCAGTCACTCATGGGTCTGACCCAGTGTGGCAGGTGGGAGACTCTCTAGGGGCTGCTGGTCCTCAGGAGGAGGTTGCACCATTCTGTGACCATCTCCTCTCTGACACAAGAAGAAGTTCTAAGCCAACATGTTCAGTAGAAATAATGCAAGTCACGTATGCAGCTTTAAACTTCCTAGTAGTTGTGTTAAAAGGACACAGGTGAAATTCTAATATATTTTACTTGACCTGATATACCCAAGATCTTATTTCAACATGTTGTCTGAACTATTTCACATTTTTTTCATACTAAATCTGTGAAATGCAGATTGTAAAGAATTTTGAAATGATAACTTTTCAGATACATTGGATTATATAAATTCTACTAGAGGTCCAGTGCATGAAATTTGTGCACGGGTAGGGTCCCTAGCAGCTGCCAGCTGCTGGCCGGGGCCTTCCTTCGATCTGCGCCGCCCCCTGGTGGTCAGCGCACATCATAGCGAGCAATCAAACTGGGGATTAAGCTTGCAACCCGGGCATTGCCCAGACTTGGAATTGAACTGTGACCACCTGGTTCATAGGTTGACACTCAACCACTGAGCCACACCAGCTGGGCTCTTTACTTATTTTTAACTTGCCTGCTAGAAAGTTTAAGGTTCCCTTTGTGGCTTATGCTGTTGTTCTGTTGGTGGTCTGCACCCCTGTTGCACTTCAGCTGTGGAATTGGCCATTTCCCAAAGGATCCCTGGTTCCTTAGTGGAGAACAGTGTTCAGAAACCCAGACCTAGGCATTGTGTGTGATCCTCAGTGGATAGAGCTAGGAAAGGCTATTACATACAGCGTTTAGAAGGAACCTAGACCGATGTCTTGGTTTATATTCACCAAAACCTGTTTTTATACTGAACCTCGGATGCCATCCAGTATCCCCAGGCCTGCTTTATCTTTCTCCTTTTCGGTTTTGTAATTCCACAGTGAGAAACCTGATTTGTGTTACCCTTAATACGCTTATTTGATCAAGAGTAACCAGTGTCACATTCCTTATGCCCTACTCACCCTGCTTGAGGCCTGTTTCCCCTTCCGACCTTGCTGCTCCCATTCAGACATTCGGTTCCTGAATTTGGGCTCCAGCACCTGGACAGGTGGGCACCCTTCTCTACCTCTTCCCCACACACACGACACACAGGTGCCTTCTCTTCCTTATTCTCCTCGTGTCCTGCAGAGGAGGAGTTGGTCTTATTTGGTGGTTGGTTTTTAAATGGAAATAGCTCCCATGTGCTTTAGAGATGGAGCCTCTAGGCTATTTGTTGATAACATGACACTTGTTGACCAGTGTCTTGTTCTGATTGCTTTGTTGAGGCTTCTGACCTATTGTAAAAGGTTGTTACTAGGTAAAGTTTTCTGTTTCAAAAGCTCCTTTTTAGAAGGTGTCATAAGGAGCTTTTCTAAGTTCTTTCATTGCATTCGTGTGCACTTTATTTGCAAGTAGGTCTTAAACTCCAGGGAAGGGTATGAGAGGGGCCTCTGGTCTTTGTTCATGGAGAAACAAGTGACCATTATGGCCTTTCAGGATTGTCCAAGTTAGGCCATGCTCCTAGGCCTTTATTTTGTTGGAGCTTCAGTAGAAACCTCAACTGTAGAAGCTCAGGGCTGTCACTTCTGGGGGAGTGTGTACTCAGGCCTGCTTCCTTGCAGATGGGCTACCTGAAGAAGAGCGGAGATGGGAACCTGCTCTACAGCGTGGTCAACACGGCTGAGCCCGATGCCGACGGTGGGTGGCCCTCTCAGGGCTGTTTTCTTCTTAGAGCCTTCATGCTGTTCTAACCTCTGTTCCTATTCAGTGATTTTAAAACATTTTAACCTGTTTGTGATGTCTATTTTCCCTGGAGTGTGTGACACCGGTGGTGAAGTATAGATGAGGAGTCCTTTTGGTTTCCTGTGCCTGCACACCCCTCACCACCACACCTGACTGAGGTGGTCACAGTGGGGGCGGAGGTGTTGGCCAGACTTCTCTGACCGAGAGTCACTAGGACAGCCAGCAGGACTGGGATTGTGCTCCCGCAGAGCGGCGGATTGGGGCTGGGCTTCCTGGTGTATTGTGAGGGATTCACCTCACAAGTTCACTGAGACCTCCTTTGTCAAAAACCAGAGTCCAACTCTGCCCCACTCTCAGGCTTGAAAGAGGTAACTGTCCACGCAAATACAAGTTTTAGAAGAAAAACCCCAGTTGATGATTATATCAAGGACGATCTTGAAGAAGGCATAAATATTGGTTCCATCCTACATGTATGTTCATTTTTGTAAAAAATACTTTTTCATCTGCTTGGAAAGATTTCAAAGGCTTGTCCTTTGAAGAAAAGCAAAACTCACTTGAATTGAATTCACACACACGTACACACACCTAGAAAATGAAATACTTTTCTTGGCCTTGCACCGAGTATAAACTCTGATCAGTTTCTTTGCTCTTTAGCCAGAATGAGTCTACTGTTCTTCCTAAGAGAATAGATGAGTTGACTAGCAGTTAACTTAGAAAGAGAACACGAGGTGGAGGTTCTGATTGGGGATTTGCAGAACCCTGTGCAGGTCACATGAATAGTGGGTGAATGATAGCTTCAGCATAGGAATGTGCAGCTGGAGGGTGTACAAAGGCAGGGACTCACTGTTGCTATTAGAACACATACAGCATTTCTCAGAGGTGCTGAGTGTTCAGTTTGAAAATGTTATGTGCTGGTATCATGGTCTGAGAGCTGAAGGTTTTCATTATGTTGACTTCGGGGTAATCATAAAGTGAAATTGGAGCACAGTTAAGGTTTCAGAATTGTAGTTGGCATTTGTAAATTTGATATTAGGTGGTCTTTATGGAGAGGCCCCGGGCGCTCTCTCCCACACATAGCTACTGTGAGTTGGAGAGAGTGCTGGAGGTGCTGTGTGGGCTGGGGGCTCCGCGAACGGCCGGCTCACAGCTCTGGTCTTGCAGAGGAGGAGACCCACCCGGTGGACCTGAGCTCCCTCTCCAGCAAGCTGCTCCCCGGCTTCAGCTTCACCACTCTGGGCTTCAAAGATGAGAGAAGAAGCAAAGGTGAGTGTGGGGAGGAGCACGGCTGGGAGCATCACCGCAGAGGATCTTCCTCACTTACCTGTCTTTAGAACTGTATCCCGATTCTGATTTTGATTTTGAAACCAGTAATAAAGACCATTTGAAGTGATGGGAATAAAAATGACATTGGGCAAGTTCCTCCTTTGCCATCGGTTCTTGGGTCTCAGCCCTGCACTTCGTGGAATTCTCCAGATGAGCTGTTGCCGTGATAGCGGGGACTCTTGGGGCCAGGTGCTGGTGAACTGTGGTGGAAATTTAATGTCCTCCAACAGACTCTCCATTTCATCCGCTTGGAGGGGTGGTGATGCTGCCTGCAGCCCAGAGAGATCTGTGTGTGACTGTCTCCGGATAGAATGAGGGAGGGTTTGGTTGCATTGGCTGCATTTGTATTTGTGGTTGGCTTTCTGGGTTGTTTTGGAGTGTCTGTTAGTATGTGTAGCTATTTTGTTCCCTGGTGACATTTTGATTGTCATACTGGTGTGCTACTGGCATCTAGCAGGGAGAGGCCCAGGCTGCTGCTTCACACCCTTCTGTGCACAGGACACAGCCTTCCTGGATCCTAACATTATTCATGCAGAGGTCCCAGCTCATACCTCCTTCAGGGCAGCGACCCTCTGGTTCCTGCCCCCCCCCTTTTTTTTGTTAATCCTCACCCGAGGATATTTTTCCATTGATTTTTAGAGTGTAAGGGAGGGGGAGAGACACAGAGAAACATCAATGTGAGAGACAGACAGCGATTGGTTGCTTCCCGCACGCGCCCCAACTGGGGCTGCCTGCAGCCGAGGCACATGTCTTTGACCGGAATTGAACGTGGGACCCTTCAGTCCTCGGGCCGACGGTCTATCTACTGAGCCAAACTCAGCCTTTACATTTCCTCAGCACGAGCCAGCCTCTGTAGGCCCAGGTCCTGGTGATGTCTGGGATGGGACATGAGCCAGCTCCAGGAAGCCCTTCTACTTGTCAGCCTCACTCCCTTACACAGCAGCCATTTGCCATGGAGGTAAAAAAAAAGGGTGATGAAGTGTTTCTGCTAGTTATGCCCCCAAAGCTTCCAATAGCTCAGCTGTACTCATTAGTTCAGCAAGAATTTCATAGAGGAGAAAGGGTGCTGCAGGGGGATGCGGTGTGCGAGTGTGGGTGAGCAACATGGAGAAAGCTGGAGTGCATCTTGTGCCGGATGTAATTTGATGTAAATCAGCTGTTTCTTATGCTTTCCTTTTTTGTTTCACTCTTAGTCACGTTTCTCTCAAGTGCCAGTACTGCCCTTTCAATGCATAATAATTCTGTATTTGGAGACTTGAAATCAGACGAAACGGAGCTTCTGTATTCTGCCTATGGAGATGAGACGGGTGTGCAGTGTGCACTGAGGTAAGCTGTGCACAGAGACACGGGTGGGGTACTTGCTTGCTGTGTGACAGGAGCCATTTTCCTACTGAGCAGTTCAGAGCCCATTTGTAGGCAAATGGGGGAGACAGTCACTGGCGGCAGGTTCAAATAGAAATTTCCAAGTTTTTTTCAGTAAACTGTTGTGGTCTGCTGTAGGCTGGTCATGAAATTGGGGTAACTCGGTCACAATTTTAAGAAGGTGGTGATCCAAGCTGTAGTCCAAAAAAGCATTTGTGTGTGTATGTGTAACTACCTGTATGTTTAGTAGGAGTTTGTTTCACAATTGTATTGAGATGTGGTTCTTGATGGCTGTATTAGTCAGCTTGGGCTGCATAACAAGCCCCACAGACAGAGCAGTGAACAATGATATCCATTGTCTCCTCATCCCGGAGGCTGCAAGTCTGAGATGCAGGTGTCAGCAGAACCGCTTTCTTCTGGGGCCTCTGTGTTGTCTTGTCCCTCTGTGTGTATCTGTGTCCGGATCTCCTTTTCCCATAACAACACCAATCATACAGAATTAGGGGCCACCCTGAAGACTTAATTTTAACTTGATCACCTTTTTAAAGGCCCTGTCTCCAAAAGCAGTTATTCTGAGGTGCAGGGGGTTAGGGCTTCAACCTATGAATTTTGGGGACTCAGTTCCAGCCCCTAACAGAGACTGCGATGCAATATTAACATTATAGGTGTAGTACTCTGTTTCTGTAGGACTGTGTTTAGTGTGTATTTTTTGTTTTCTGTGGAAAAATAGAAGTTGGTCATTTTTGTAGAATTTTAGTAATTTTCTATGGAAAAAGTAACTCAGTTTTACTATAGCCTCTAAGAAATGGAATCTTTTCATACTATATCTTTGTTTTATTTTTCAAAGAAACAGAATATATGAAAAATAAAAAAGTCAGCCCCTCATGCAGTAAATGAATACCTAGCCCATATTTTTGTGAGAAAAAAGGAAAAACAGAAAAATGAGGAAATTTCTTATAGGAGAGAGTGGTATAAGTTGGGGACCCTCTCTCCACTCCTTAACCTGGCAGCATCTCACAGCTCTTCAGGGGCACCAATCAGCTTTTGTTCAGGTAGCACCATGTAGCTGGGCCATGCTTGCTTCTCCAAGGGCGTTCCTGAAATGCATACAGATTCTGTCTGCCATACAGTGAAGTCAGCGCATGAGCACCACTTGAAGGCAGGCAGGCAGGGCCCCACACCACTACTAGACGCCCCACACCACCTTCCCTAGACCCTTTGTCCTGAGCACTTTCAGACCCGCTGTGAGTGGAGTGTTCTGGCCAGTCCCTGACCCCTCTCAGCGGTCAGTGTGGTGGTTTCTCATAAAATGTTTCTGGTAGAGACTCTGGTGGTGCCGCTTCTGTCCAGGAGCCCTCCTGGCTCTGTGGAGCCTTTGCCTGGCTTTGATGCTAGGACCATAGGCTTTCCGTTTGCTGCTTCCTTTACATTCTTTGGTAGTTTTATTTAGTTTTTAAAGCATTCACCTGGCCCAAAAATCAAAGTGAAACTAAAAGGTGTCCTTGGGGAGCCTGGCTCCCACAACTGCTCCCTCCCCTCTTCAGTAAGAGCTATTTACACTATGCATCTCCTCAACCTACTTGTATTTTAAGACCCAAAACAAATAGGTATGAACGTGCTTTTACAAAGCTAGCGAACGTCATCGTGTGTATGTATATACACTGTTCTTCACTTTGCTTTTAAAAATTGAGATCTTTCTAACTTTTTTGGGTCATGGACCACTTTGAGGATCTGATGAAGTCTGTTGCTCCATTTCCGATATCTACCACCTCTGGGAGGTTCGCAGCTCTCAGGAAGACCCTCTCTTGGAGGAGCGGCTGAGGTGTACTGATGTCACAGGCTTCTGCTCAGGACTGCTAGCATTGGTGACAGCAGGGTCTGGAAGATGAGAGCACATAGCGTTTGTGTCAGCATGTTCTCTCCTGGCCCTTTCCAGCCTGCAGGAGTTTGTGAAGGATGCTGGGAGCTACAGCAAGAGAATGGTGGACGACCTTCTGGACCAGATCACAGGCGGAGACCACTCCCGTATGCTCTTCCAGCTGAGGCAGGTGGGCTGTGCTGTGGTGCCACTCCTGTAGAAGGGCCCATCCAAACAACTGGATTCTCAGGGAAGGATGCTGTTTTTAGGTCATCCATCACAGTTCTTACATTATGTTTCTGTTGGACAAGGCTGGTCTGGATTTCATTTTCTTCCTTTAAAGAATGTTTATGTTCATTTTGGCAGAGTTGTTACTTCTGAATGACCTGATCTTTTTGATACTTATTTTTCTGCTTAGAAGTTTATGAAAAACATAACATAAATGAATCTCAGAAACATTATTTTGAACAAGAGGTCCCAGATACAAATGTGTACAAACTGAATGGCTAATTTTTGGGTATATATGCAGGACTAGGGTATTTTTAAGAGAATGCTCCTGCCGGATTATAGAACAGTGGCTCAGTGCAGCATTCAGACTTCAGTCACATGTAGTAGTCAAGCATAAGCCCTCTTCCAGGTACCGTACAGGCCGAGGAGAGGGGTGTATGGCCCCATAGCTCTGCCCATTCGAGGGCAGTGGCACCATCAGGCACCCTGCCTCTGTCAGAATTCCAGCTGGTCTTGTGCAGCTCTTCCAGGTTAAATCACCAGGCCTGGTATTTTCCTGAGCTGCCCTGGAGACCCAGGGTACAACATCTGACTTTTTTAATTTTATTTTATCCATCAAAGCTGCAGAAACAAGGTTGGGTATCCTCTCACCCCTTCATCTGACTTCCCCCTGTGCTCTCATGGCCCTCAGCCCCCCCCCCCCCCCCCCCCGGGAATCATGGCTGGTGCTGCATGACTGGGGCCTTCAGTGGTGGAGTTAGCTGTCCCACACTTCCAGCTGCACAGAAGTATCCAGGCCCAGCTCAGAGTCACGATATACTGGGAACATAATGAACACAGCCTGAGAGTATTATCCTGTATAAAATCATTTGGAAAAACTGATTTCCTGCCTGTTTTGCTTTGCAGAGGAGAAATGTCGCGATGAAGCCATCAGATGAAGTAAAGGTGAGTTCCATGGACATGTGAGTAAAAAGGGTTCTAGGAGGGCAGTTGTGCTCTGCCTTTGAAATGGGATGGTTGAGGAGAGCTTTCATGTAATTGTCTTATTTAGAAACTGATTAAGTTTCTGATGAGTAAGAATAAGTGGTAGTCTCTTTCCACCCCCTGATTTTTAATGGCTTAGGGCAGTGGTTCTCAACCTGTGGGTCGCGACCCCTTTGGTGGTCGAATGACCCTTTCACAGGGGTCGCCTAAGACCATCCTGCATATCAGATATTTACATTACGATTCATAACAGTAGCAACATTACAGTTATGAAGTAGCAACGAAAATAATTTTATGGTTGGGTCACAGCATGAGGAACTGTATTTAAAGGGCCAGAAGGTTGAGAACCACTGGCTTAGGGTGAGGGATATAAAGCCACAGTACATTCCTCCAAATACAGACTCATGAATTCACAGGTGCCAGGCAGGGAGGGCCTGCTCTGGGGCCTGCGGGGCATGCAGCAAACACTGTCTCTGCAGTGGGTTCTTCCAGTCCTGGAAGGTGTGTGCCATCAGCTGGGTGCATGTGCACTGCACACTTGTGAGAGCAGCTTGGCAGGTCTAGGTCATCGGGACCTCACCAGCGCCTACTTTAGACGGTCTCTGTTTCAGGAAACTGTTCGTTGTGGTTCCTCCCCCACCCCCCTTTTCTGTTTCTTGGGAATGACTTGGAGCACATGTTGGAGGGAACATGCCAGGACACTGAGCAGGGCATTGGGGCCTGGGCCACAGTTGTTACCTGGGCTTGGTGGTTGGAGGGCTTGCCTGGGGCAGAAGGATCGGGTACCAGGCAGGTGAGGCTTGTTGAGTGATAGATCAGAGAAGGTGACATGGGATCTCCCTGGAGGGTGTGCTGCCCAGTGCGGCTGGGTACGTGAGGCAGTCAGGTTCTGCTCAGGGTCTCTGTCCCTGAGCAGAACCCCTTGGGGGGTTCTGAAAAGTCCACAACTGTTTCTGAAAAGTCCACAACTGTCTTTCAGGGACTTCACTTAACAAGTAATGTGGCCAATTCCAGAACATTCTCTTTCCTTCTCCGGGTGAGCCTGTGAGATCACAGACTGCAGCCTAGTTATGCAGTTATGCAGATGCCCCTTGGGGTAGAGTGCAATCCCCACATTCATCTTGAAAAACCTGGGATGCACAGCAAGCTGCCTTGAGCTGGGAGCCTGGCACACGCTCCTGCCTTGCTGCCAGGGCCTCCATAGGCAGAGGGTTTCACATCAAGGCCAAGACAGCCCCACAGGCACGGGGGTCGTAGGCCTGGTGCCCCCTTGCTCGGGAGCAGGAGCCTCACTTCTTCCAGTCACTGTGAGCCACTGGGTGGAGGTGGACACCTCTCCCTACTGTTCATGCTGGCAGAGGTCCTGTCTGAGTCCTGGGAGAGTGCTAAGGGTCAGTGGGGGGGCGCATAAAAGGCATCCGTACAAGCCAGGCCCACCGACTCAGCATCTGTCATGTGGAACTTTTGTTTCTTAACTATTTGGTAAGGAAATTGTCACTCCAGCCTGTCAATTGGGAGGGTACTGTCATTTGACACTAAATTGTCTAGTAACGACTTAGGATTCAGCACCCGTGTAAGAGTATGTGATTTGGGCAGAATTTTAAAGGCCTTAAATACTAGAGGATACCCTTTCACATAGTAAAATATGCTATATGTTAATCCTAAAATTCTAATAGCCTGAGAGCAGCAAATTGAATGGAAGAAATGAGGGGAGGGGGCGCGGGGTAGAGTATTTCTGAGAAAATGGGGCCGGCCATTTCTGTAACAGTGTAGAGAGAGTGGGGAATAGACACAGCAGAAGACTTCCAGAGAGAAGTTGTGCCCCAGGAAATCCAGGAGAGTCGCAGGGGGGTGGGTGGGGGGGGGCGTAAGGGGCGGCGGGGAGGCGGGCTGCAGTCTGTGATCCCACAGGCTCACCCGGAGAAGGAAAGAGAATGTTCTGGAATCTGCCACATTACTTGTTAAGTGAAGTCCCTGAAAGACAGTTGTGGACTTTTCAGGTGCTGTGTACCTACTGGCCTGATACAGAGCTTCTTCATGTTCCCTCAGCACCTTTAGTCCCCAGAGAGCCAGCAGCCTTTGTGTGTTGGTCTAGAATTGTTGGTCTATCAGTGGTGGCAAACCTTTTGAGCTCGGCGTGTCAGCATTTTGAAAACCCTAACTTAATTCTGGTGCCGTGTCACATATAGAAATTTTTTTATATTTGCAACCATAGTAAAACAAAGATTTATATTTTTGATATTTATTTTATATATTTAAATGCCATTTAACAAAGAAAAATCAACCAAAAAAATGAGTACGCGTGTCATAGGTTCGCCATCACTAGTCTAGGTAGTGGCTCACTCGTGAGCTCATACTCTGTGGTCCCTGGACTGTGGCATGGGCTGGACACTCCTGGAGACTGGGCATGACAGAGAAGGCCTGTCCTGCCAGTGAATGTTCACTGCCCACTTAGTAGTATCTTTCCTTTTTTTGTTTCCTGTGTCTGCAGACTGGGGACTCCCTAGGAGATGGTGGCTCTGTGCTGGATTTCATGTCAATGAAGTCGTATTCTGACGTCTCTTTGGACATCTCCATGCTCAGCTCTCTGGGTAAGTTGTGCTGGGCACATGCCTCCCTTGTAACACTGCAGTTGGATCATCAGTCTCAGCTGAAAGGAAGTGGCCCCTAGCACTGCATTTCCACTTACGAGTAGCCTGGGGGGCACAGGGCTGGTATAATGCTGCCTGTGCTTGCTCCCGAGAGGGTGGCATAGCCTGGTGAGGTGGTCATAGGTGAGTGCCCCGCTGTCCTCAGGAACACCTTCAGGTGGCTCCAGATGGGTACGCCTGGACCTCCTTCCTGACTTCAGGCTCCGTCTTCTGATTGCTGGGTCCTTCATTCTGTTGGTGCAGGCACCTGTTGTTAGTGCATTAGTGTGCTTGTGTGTGCCACCAGGATGTTTCCTCATGGACTGCTGGCCCCCGCCCCCGTGAAATGCCCTCTGTATCTCACATAGCATCCGATCTTTTGAAATCTACTCTGCCATCCCAGCTCCCTGTTGACTAGTGGTATTCGTGGTACATCTTCTTCTCTCTTACTTTGGACACACCTGTGTTTTCACCTGCGAGCAACTCGCCCCCAGGGACATGTGGCAACATCTAGAGACATCTTCGCTTGTCACAGTTGGGGTGTGGTGCTTCTGGCATCACCTGTAAAGGCTAGAGATGCTGCTAAACCTGAAGCCCACAGAATAGTCCCCACAGAGTGACCCAGCCCAGTGTCTATAGTGCCTTATGTTAAAAGTGGATTTCATCAAACCTTTTTAAGAGCGTAAAGTCAAGTCTTGCTTTGTCATCCATTCTGACAGTCTCTGCCTTTTGGTTGGAGTGTGTTTACACCATTTGTGTTTAAAGCAATTGTCAGTACGATCGAATTCATGCCATCTTGCTGAGCTTTTTTTTTTCTTAATTTTTCCAACATTTGGGGTTCCCCAAGACTACCCCCAGGGTCGGTGATTCCTAGGACTTAGTATATAGTTGTCCTCACAGTTGTGGTTTATTACAGTGAGAAGACACCAACCAGGCTCCCCAAAGGAAGAAGGGGTGCATCCTGGAGACCAGTCACAGCTTCCAGAGCCCCATCCCCGTGTGTCTTACAGGATGTGCCCAACCCCCAACTGTGATTGGGACAGCGCAGCACCTATGCATGGCACAGCCCCAAATTCCGGGCTCCCAGAAGGAAAGCAGGTGTTCAACATCAATCATGCCTTTGCGCAAAGGCTTAGCCTCAGGGAGCCCTCCTGAAATCCTTACTCAGTAAGGCAGCAGTCTGGAAGCTGCTTGTGATAGCACTTCCCTACACCAGCCATCCTGTTTTCCTCTGGCTGCATCTTAAGATTTTCTCCTTATTTCTGGTTGTCAGTAGTTTGGTCGTAATGTGTTTTTTTCTTTAGGGTTATTCTTCCTAGGTTATGTTCAGCTGCTTGATCCTGAGGTTTACAGTGGTTCT